GCCACTTCAAGGCTGCCGGGTCCGGTTGATGGAATCTGCAGAGCGATCAACACTCAGACTGAGATGATACGGGAGCTGAGCGCAGACTGGGTGTGATCCTGGAACAGGACCGAGGCCGGCCAGCGGATCTCGGACTCAGAATGGATACGGTGTGAACGTTGTTCGCTCGGATCAGGCAGGAGACCCTAAATTTGGCTGTTTGGATTTGCCATTGAGAAGCTCCAGAGAGACTTTCAAGGCAGGCAGTAAACTGATGTCAGCCTGACCTAAACAACTTTCTGCTATCTGAATCTGGACCCGGGCTGGGCTTGGCTGGCCAGCGATCCTCCCCTGGTTGTTGTGTCTAAAGAGGGCTCTGTTCTGCTGCCCCCCTCCCTGGAACATCTGTGGCCCTGAACTGATTAAGCTGGTGGTGAACGCCAAGATCGTACAGACAATCACAGATAATCACAGATAATCACAGATAATCACAGATAATCGGGTGCTTCAGTCAGGCTTCATGGTCTGACACACACATAACTCAGATGAGACCCATTTGCACGTCACACCTCCTCCTTGTACCCGGCTTGTTTTGCCTACATGTGTTTATATGTGGTTAGGTCCCGAGGTGTTTTCCTTCATCTCAAACTGCCTTCAAAGAACAGAGTGTGAGACAGGCGGTTTTTGTCCTCTCCTAACCTGATGGTTTTCTTATTTGTCCTATTTCCTCCTGCAAGGCGGCGCCTGTCAGGCTGCGAGGCCTCAGCCAACTATCCCCCCTCTCATCCCCCCCCCGTGTTGTTGTGTAATGGATGGTTGTAACTGAAACTGCAGTTTCATTGTCTTTGTGACAATGACAATAAAATTCTTCTGATTCTGATTCTCAAAAACAGTTTAAATCTGCAGCTTCCCACATCATCTGAAAAGCTACATCAGTTATTCTCCACTTGGTTATCAAAGATAACAAAATACTAACTACACATTTTCTAAGCTATTGTTAATTGTGCTTCTCTTGTTTTTATCTCCTTCAGACTGTCTCTGAGTTTTGTCCTCACCTGCGTTCAGTCCACCTGTCTTACTGCAGAGGAGTGACAGGCAGCGGCCTGCGCAGCTTGGGCCTGCACAGCCGCAACCTCCAGCGACTCAACCTGCAGCATTCAGAGGTTGGTGGGTCGACTGGTGGGATGGTTGGTGGGATGATTAATAGTTAATAGTCTTAGATCCAATGTAGTCGTTCAGAACAAGCATCTAATAAATGCTTTATATTAACTAATTTACTGTGTGATTTAATAATAAGCTGGTTGATCTGAACCAGTTGTCAGTGTTTTTTCTGTGGTGCAGTTTCAGGTGGAGGGACTGGTGGACTTCCTGGAGGAACATGGGAAGCAGATCAGGCAGATGCTCTTCACCCGCAGCCACAGGAATGACAAAGTTCTGGCAGCAATCGCTGTGAGGTTCATGTTTTTATGCCTGCCTGCTGCTCTGAACTCTTCTTACAGATCGATGTGCTTGTCTTTGCAGAAAGGATTTTGTCCTGATCTGGAGCTGCTGGAAGTTAACAAGAAGCTGGACAGTAAAGACACAGAACTATCTGTTTGCTTTCAGTCGCTACAGAAGGCCTGTCCCAAACTGAAGGTCATTAAAATCTAGTTTTACTAAATTATTCAAACTGAAGTTTTCTGTTAGTCACAACTTTCCAACAGCTCTTCACACATCATATGGTCTCCAGACCAACCAGGATCAGCTGTGATTGGCTGTGATTGGTTGTGATTGGCTGTGGTTGGCTGTGATTGGCTGCATTTATTATGACACCTCTAAATGGAAGCCAGTCCACACCCTGAATGCCTCAGGCTAGCTGGATCTACACAGTTCCCATGTGCAGCACAGAGGAGGTTTCTGTACCTTCATCATCAGTTCCAGTCCTGCTGTGGAAACCATCAGAGACCTGATGTGAGACCATGAAGGAGAGTTTTTCTGCCTTCCTGTTGCATAGATTCAAACTGGTGAAGCACTCTGCATTTATCTCTGAGTGCAATCAGACGGACATAAAGTCCAAAATTAACAAGCCTGAAAGCTTGTTGCTATTTTAACGGCACCTATTAAAACTCTTCTCCTCATCACTGAATTATATGCCAGGATTTCTCTTTAAAATCAAGTTTTTAAAAAAACGTATTGTGAAAAACCTGCTGCTGTTAACCATCTAATAATGCACAATTTGGAGGTGTGTGTCTCTGGTAGTTCTTCTAGCTCTCTGATAATGAACCAGCATCAGGTTTAGTGCCTGAGAAACTCCAGAAGATCTTTCTCAGACCTTCAGAGTCTGATTTCTATGAGAGACTCAGCAAATCAAAAACCTTCCAGATATATTGAGCTTACCCTGCAATGGACTGGTGACCTGTCCAGGTGACTCCGCCTCTCACCTGTTGACCTCTGGGGATAGGCACCAGCACCACTCACAACCACAGTGGGGATAAGCATGTTGGATGGTGGATGGATGGATTTAACTTTTATTCCACAGACTGAAGGAAAAATGTAAAGCATGCAAACAAATTTAAAAGAGTTTTCTACTTATATTGATTTGTTTTGTACGACACCAGACTTTTTTCCCCTTTTGATAATCCGATAATCTTGTTTTCTCCCTTCCTTTCAGATTTTCCGGATGTTTAACATCCAAATTCAGCACAAGGCGATGCGTAAAAGAGGCGAGTCAGAAGCCGGATTCCCGCTGCTGGATGAGTTTTGTATTGCCAACACAGAGTATTCCTACATGACCGACCAGGTTCTGCTGGACGTTCTGTTCGGCTCCACCAGACTGCGAGTGCTGGACCTACGAGGCTCCACACGGATCACAACCTTTGGTCTGGCCCAGTTACCGTGTCCAAGTGTGTAAAAGACGCCACATTTCTGCCTTTCCTTCGTACATGTTTACTGAGCAAATTATTCAAGCAACAATAGGAGTTAGCACTAGCTTAGCTCTGGAGATTACTTCACAAATATCACTTAATTCATTACCATCTCTGTTCAGTCCGCTTCAACCCAACTCCAGTCCGTTTGCCTAGTCAAAGTCCAGTTCGGTTGGTAAGGTGTGAATGCTAACTGACCTCTGACCTCTGGCCCTCCAAGCCTGGGTCTTGGTTCGGTTTGAATGTGAACACCAAGTGGAGCGGAGACCACTCCAACAGCAGGAAGTGGACTACAGCACAGATCTCACCACTAGAAAAAACCCAAAAAATTATTTTTATAATTTAGATTTATTACTTTTATATTATTGCAGTGAGACTTTTTGACCTTGAAGTAAAACATTATTATATCATATTAATTATATTACAGTGTATTGTATTATATATTACCTTGCTGTTGTTATTATTATCATGTATTAATTATTTTTTACATTTAAATAGATAATTTTACATTATGACAGAACCAGAAAAAGTTTTTAAAATAGAACAAAGCACATTTAGTCAATAAAATGTCTTACAATAATTAACAAATCAATTTTATTTTCTTGCTGCATTTAATTAGACTTTGGTGCCATAATGAAAAATCTAAAAACATCTTAAAGAGTTTGGATACCTGTTCCTCAGGTCAGTCAGGTGAACATATTCATACATAATAATACATATAAGACATCAACCAGCGCTCTGTTTGCTAAAATGAGCAGCTGAAGAGTTTCATTGTAAAAAATGATTAAAGTTTGTGTAGGACAGTCAGCGGACCGTACTACGGCGGCTGATAGGAGACATTTGATGATCAGTTTTGCTTTTTAAAATGTCTTCCAGAGCTTGAGTGTCTGTTCTGGGGTCAATATTTTACTAAAAACATCGGATTCACGTCAGTGAAGAAGAACCTTCAGCTGCTGATGGAGAAGTGGGGTCCGACGCTGCAGCAGCTCGACATCACCAATCAGCCGTTTACCGAGGCCGACCTGGAGGTGGCGCTGGCGTTCCTCGCTCAGGTTGCTGAAGCCGACATGCTGCTCTCGCTGAACCTCAGCGGCACCAAGATAACAGCGCAGGCTCTGAGGTAAGCCATCCGTCACCTGTACCTTTAATATTCATCACCTGGCTTTTCTGGCTGGCAGGTCTTTTCCAACAGGTTTATCCTTCGTAAGTGATGCTGCTGTTTGCTTTATGTTAAAGGTTGTCTACATTTAATATAAAGTCTAAACAATGCAGTAAACTATACGCAGTAAAAACTTTGATTCACTTGATGCTGTTCGTCTCAAGCCCTGCAGTTGTTAAAAATCCTTCTCTCTCTGCGCCTCTTCCTGCAGGCCGGTCGTCGAACGAATGACCTCTCTGGGTTACCTCAACCTTTCATCGTGTCGCAACCTTCCAAGAGGAGTGAAAAAGATTTACCGCAGCCAGGAAGAAATCCAAGAGCTGTTGACCAATCTGCACTGAGTCTCTTATTCAGCTGAACATTTGGTGCTTCGTGCCTTTGATAATGTTGGGGAACTGTTAGAGTTTTCTTTCTGATTCTTTTCAAAATCTAAAAAAATTAAAGCTGTTCCAGAAGGCATGGGAGGTGAAAATAACAATGCATTTTATTTAAAATACCCTTTATGTATCAAATTGAAATCACAAAGGGCTCATTACAGGCGAGCTCCCACCAATACTGTACTTTTATTCCCAACACACTCCCGGTATTAAGCGGTTCAGACCTATGGACTCCTGGGCTTGGATAATTTTTATTTGAAAACATTTTAATACATTTTAGAATGTCTGACTTATTTTTTTTAAAAATCCCTCATGACCAAAACATTTTACAAGTGAAAATAAAATGTTTCTACAAAAAGTGTTATATTATTATGTTCCACTAGATGGTACTATTTTTAAGGAAGAGCAGAAAAGACATTTCTCTGAACTTCCTTTCTGGAAAATTATTGAAAACAGTATAGACTTATTGTTGAACTTCATGTTTTTCTGGTGACTAAAGTGTGAAAACCTCATTAGCACCAGACCCTGAACATAAAACATAACATTTGCTTGTTAAAAGAAAAATATTTAATAAGAAAAAGGTAAACATTACATCAATTTATTGGACCTCATTAAAGGTGGAAAAGGGGAAGTCGCCCCTTGCTCCAATTACATCCACACAAAAAATCACATTTGACCCCAGAGAAAAAACTGAAAACTTTATGCAAAGAGAACCATCTGATTGCATCACAGAACAATAACCATCATTTCCAACACAAACAAAAAGTGGAACCCATTAAAACAGTTAACAAGCAGATTATTAGGCAAAAGACACACAAAAAAAATCCCTTTAATTTTAACTTTCCCTTTGATATTCAAATACTTATGATAAGTGTTAAAGCGTCATTTTGATGACAGCTAATTTATTAAGTATTTTATGACTAACACAAATGTAGGAATTTTCCATCACATATAAGATGCTGGTTTGGATTCCAGGTAAGGTGAAATGAAATAAGTTTCACTAATGGATGAATGGCAATAAAATTCATACTGAAAGTGAGAATACTTGTTAGATTCACTTATTTTAAAACTGAATTTACTTTTTTAATGATAACAAACTGAGACCTGTGGCAGGATCTGTAATACACCTTTCGATCAGCTGGAGGTATGTAAGGTTCTCCTTGGTGTTGGGGTCAAAGAAACCCTTGGTGTCATCATCTGGATCAGATAAGATCTGGTTCATCTCTTCATCAAAGTAACCTCTTTGGTATGCCACCTGTACGGGCACCCTGTGACTGTGGACTGGATCTATTATTCCTCCTGTTGCTATCTGTGCCTCCAGAAGACGGATCCCGTGATCCTTAACAATCAGATCTTTCTTCAGGGCCTGGAACAAAGAAATTGTGTTTCCAGTGTAGGGATCTTTGTACCCTGTGACTGCTCTTTCTGCTGAAATCAGTTTGTCCTTCCATTCTTTACCAACCAGTCTCTGACCAACAGCTTCCTCTACAGAAAGTTTCTTGTTCTCCACTGGGTCGATCATGAAACCAGTGGCGGCTTGGGCTTCCAGCAGAACCAGAGAGGTGCCTGGAGTCAGTAGACCTCGGCGTTTGGCTTCATAGATGCTCAGCGTCTCCTTGGTGGACTGGATGTACACTCCTGCAATGCTGTTGGTTCCTTCAAGGTATTTACGTACTGAATCCATTTCACTGACTTCAGCCACTGTGACATCTTCATCAACAATTTTCTTGTAGAGTTCCTCATCAATAATTTTTGATTCAACTAGTTCAGTCAGGTTGACATCTTTTCTGATTCCCTTGAAGATTTTTTCCTCAGTAGTCTCTGTGATTGTTGTTGCCGTACTCGTTGTTGTTGTTGTTGTGGTCTTCTGCTGAATGATGGTCAACACGATTTCCAAGAAGTGTTCGATGGTGAGAGTTCCAGCTTTGAACTGCTGGACAAGATCTCTCCTCTTTTCCTCTGTGATGTATTTGGAGTAAAGCAAATCCCACAGAGAAACTGTGGTGCCTTTGTATTTTCCTCCAGCTTTGGTTGTTGTTGTAGACTTCAAGATGACCTTTGTGGCCTCATCAACAAAGAAATAGAACTCGCCTTTCTTCACAATGACCAATAAACTGAGACCTGTGGCAGGATCTGTAATACACCTTTCGATCAGCTGGAGGTATGTAAGGTTCTCCTTGGTGTTGGGGTCAAAGAAACCCTTGGTGTCATCATCTGGATCAGATAAGATCTGGTTCATCTCTTCATCAAAGTAACCTCTTTGGTATGCCACCTGTACGGGCACCCTGTGACTGTGGACTGGATCTATTATTCCTCCTGTTGCTATCTGTGCCTCCAGAAGACGGATCCCGTGATCCTTAACAATCAGATCTTTCTTCAGGGCCTGGAACAAAGAAATTGTGTTTCCAGTGTAGGGATCTTTGTACCCTGTGACTGCTCTTTCTGCTGAAATCAGTTTGTCCTTCCATTCTTTACCAACCAGTCTCTGACCAACAGCTTCCTCTACAGAAAGTTTCTTGTTCTCCACTGGGTCGATCATGAAACCAGTGGCGGCTTGGGCTTCCAGCAGAACCAGAGAGGTGCCTGGAGTCAGTAGACCTCGGCGTTTGGCTTCATAGATGCTCAGCGTCTCCTTGGTGGACTGGATGTACACTCCTGCAATGCTGTTGGTTCCTTCAAGGTATTTACGTACTGAATCCATTTCACTGACTTCAGCCACTGTGACATCTTCATCAACAATTTTCTTGTAGAGTTCCTCATCAATAATTTTTGATTCAACTAGTTCAGTCAGGTTGACATCTTTTCTGATTCCCTTGAAGATTTTTTCCTCAGTAGTCTCTGTGATTGTTGTTGCCGTACTCGTTGTTGTTGTTGTTGTGGTCTTCTGCTGAATGATGGTCAAGACGATTTCCAAGAAGTGTTCGATGGTGAGAGTTCCAGCTTTGAACTGCTGGACAAGATCTCTCCTCTTTTCCTCTGTGATGTATTTGGAGTAAAGCAAATCCCACAGAGAAACTGTGGTGCCTTTGTATTTTCCTCCAGCTTTGGTTGTTGTTGTAGACTTCAAGATGACCTTTGTGGCCTCATCAACAAAGAAATAGAACTCGCCTTTCCTCACAATGGACAGTAGGTTTAGGTCCGTATGTGGATCTTTGGCACACCTTTCGATCAGCTGGAGGTATGTAAGGTTCTCCTTGGTGTTGGGGTCAAAGAAACCCTTGGTGTCATCATCTGGATCAGATAAGATCTGGTTCATCTCTTCATCAAAGTAACCTCTTTGGTATGCCACCTGTACGGGCACCCTGTGACTGTGGACTGGATCTATTATTCCTCCTGTTGCTATCTGTGCCTCCAGAAGACGGATCCCGTGATCCTTAACAATCAGATCTTTCTTCAGGGCCTGGAACAAAGAAATTGTGTTTCCAGTGTAGGGATCTTTGTATCCTGTGACTGCTCTTTCTGCTGAGAGCAATTTCTTCTTCCACTCTTTCCCAACTACTCCTTGAGCAACAGCTTCCTCTACTGAAAGTTTCTTGTTGTTTACTGGGTCAACGACAAAGCCAGTGGCAGCTTGGGCTTCCAGAAGAATTAGGGAGGTACCAGGAGTCAGTAGACCTCGGCACTTAGCTTCATAAATGCTCATAACGGTCTTTGTTGATTCCACTCTCACACCTGCTATGCAGTTTGTCGCACCAAGGTACTTCTGAATGGACTCAATTTCTGTCACATTTTCCTCACTTATTTGGCCCTGCATTATTTTGTCGAAAATCTCCTTTGTGATAATTTTTGACTCTAACAGTTCACTAGCTGATACCTGTTTTCTTAGTCCTTTGAACTTTCTTTCTTTAGTTGAGAGTTCTGTGATAATAACTGTCAGGATTTCAATGATTTCCTCTAATTTCAAAGCTCCTGTTTTGTACTGTCTTATCAGCTGCTGTCTCTTTTCTGCTGAGATACATTCAGAAAGCAATAACTCCCACACTGTTATTTCGTTGTTCTTGAATTTTCCTACATACAGGGAAATACTTTTGTTTTTGAAGGCAAGCTCCACCTGCTCATCCGCATGAAACTCTTTGGATTCATCAACATCCAATGGCAGGAGAAGGAGTCCAGTTTTGGAATCTCTTTCACATCGACTCATCAGTTGAACGTAGGATAAATTTTCATTGGTATTTGGGTCAAAGTAACCCTTTGCATCATCACTTGGGTTTTGCAGAATTTTGTGAGTTTCTTCATCGAGGAATCCTTTTTTAATAGCAACTTGAGCAGGTACTCTGTGGCTTTGATTTGGGTCGATAATTCCTCCAGTTGCTATCTGTGCTTCAAGAAGATGGAGGCCTTCACTTCTTTCAATAAGTCGTTCTGTCATCGCTTCAAACAGGGATATGGTGCTGTCTGTGTAAGGATCTTTAAAGCCAGTGACAGCACGCTGTGCTGAAAGAAGTTGCTCAAGGACATCTGTTCCAATTACCTTCTCCTTTACACCCTCATCAACTGAATAGAACTTATTGCTGACAGGATCAATCACCCATCCTGTTGCAGATTGTGCTTTAAGCAGTACAAGTGCAATGCCGGGAGTCAAAAGATTTTTTTGTTTTGCCTCATAAATGCTCATTACATCCTGGGTTGGATAAATTTTGATTCCAGCAATGCTTGCAGTTCCCCGAAGATATCTTGTCACAATTTCACTTTTGCTTACTTCATCAAAGTTTAGCTTTCCTTCCTTAACCTGTATGAATGTGGCCGAGTCAATAATATCAGAATCCAGGAGTTGTTGTGAAGAGACTTCCTTTCTCAGCCCCATTGTCACTTTGGGGGCTTCCCTTTCCAGTTTTTCAATTGTGGAAATCACTAATGTGATTATTGTTTGGGTGTTCATCTGCTTTGTTTTGACTTTTTCAATAAATTCTAGTTGCTGATCTTCAGTGAAGTAACAAGAGTGAATCAAGTCCCAGAGAGAAACAGATTTTCCCAAATATCGTCCCACACTTACACTTACAAATGTCTTTTCAAACTCTTGCCTTATTTCTGCTTCTGTGTATATCTTGTCTGTTTTTGCTCTTGTCTTTGGTGTGTCATTCAGTGGCAGGAGAAGGAGTCCAGTGTCTTTATCTTTCACACATCTGCTCAACATTTGCATATATGTCAGATTTTCTTGAGTCTTTGGGTCGAAGAAGCCCTTTGTGTCATCAGTGGGGTCTGTTAAGATTTGATTGAGTTCTGCATCAAAATAACCTTTCCTGTATGCAACCTCTAGAGGTAAATGAAGGCATTTCAATGGATCGATGATACCACCAGTAGCAATTTGGGCCTCAAGTAAACGAATACCATGCTGTTTGACAATAAGATCCTTTTTCAAGGCTTGGAATAGAGAGATCTTTTGACCTGTGTATGGGTCTTTGTAACCGGTGACAGCTTTCTCTGCAGACAACAGCTTTTCGTACATTTGTGGACCAATGACTTTTTCTTTTAGTGCTTCTTCCACTGTATGTTTTTGGTTTTTTAGAGGATCTACAATGAATCCTGTGGCCGCCTGAGCTTCAAGGAGACAAAGGGCAGTGCCTGGAGTGAGGATGCCCATTTTCTGTGCCTCATTGATGCTTAGTTTCTGATTGGAGGGTTGTAGTATCAATCCTGCTACACAGCTTGTCCCTTGGAGACAGGCTCTTACACTGTCCATCTTCATTACATCGGTACTTGAAAGCTTTCCATCAATTATACTTTTGTATGTTTTTTCATCTACAATTTCAAGATCCAAGAGATCCACAACAGACACCTCTCCCCTGAGACCTTCAAAGTTCAGCTCTGCTTGCTGTTTTATCTCTTTGCTCTCAATGATATCTATAATGATTACTGTCAGTTGCTCAACAGTGATTTTCCGGGACCTGAAAAGTTTGAAAAGGTCCTGTCGTTTGTCTTCAGACAGATATTCTGAATTGATTGCTTCCCACAGAGTTGTGTTGCCCTTGAATCTGCCATACTTGACAGTAATTATTGTCCTATGGAAAATTTCCCTCATGTTGTCATCAATATTTATTCTGGTGCTCTTGCTTTTCAGAGGTAAGAGGCACAGGCCAGTACTGGGATCTTTGACACATCTAGCCAGGAGCTGCAAGTATGTCAGGTTCTCATGGGTATTGGGGTCAAAGAAACCTTTGGTGTCGTCACTTGGATCACTCAAAATCTGATTCATCTCCTCATTGAAGTATCCCCTCTTATAGGCTACATGTACAGGTATGCGGTGGCTGTTCACCGGATCAATGATACCACCAGTGGCAATCTGTGCCTCCAGAAGTCGAATCCCATGGTCTTTCAGGATCAGGTCTTTTTGCATAGCTTGGAACAGAGAAATTATTTTTCCATCATGTGGATCTTTATACCCAGTGACTGCTCTCTCTGCTGAACGCAGCTTCTGACAGACATCAGGTCCCACAATTTTAGCTTTGACAGCATCATCCACTGAAAACTTCCTGTTTCCAATGGGGTCAATAATGAACCCAGTAGCTGCTTGTGCCTCCAGCAGAATCAGAGCAGTTCCTGGCATCAGCTTTCCTTTTTGTCTGGCTTGGTAGATTGTTATAACTTGGGAATCTGGAAGCAGAATACCTGCGATGCTGTCTTTTCCCTGTAAGTAAACATTTACATTTTCATCCTCTATTACGTCCTTTATTGACTTTTTTCCATCTTCCAACTCCTTCATCACTTTCTCACTGATGATTTCTGCTTCAACAAGCTGCTTGGCTGTGACAGTTTCCCGTATGCCCTCAAAGACGGTTTTTGTTGTTTTTACTGATGTTTCTATGGTCTCCAAAATCATCTTAATGATTGTAGTGATATTTAACTTACCTTCCTTGTATTTCTGAAATATGTCTTGCCTCTGGTGTTCATTGAAGTACTCTGACATCAGTAGTTCCCACAAAGAGACTGTCATTCCCATGTACTTCCCAAATGTCACTTTGATTTTTTCAGTTTTGAAGACAGTTTTTGTTTTGTAGTCAATAAAGCTAGAATTAAATTTGCCTGATTTGTCATGTAGAGGAAGAAGGCACAATCCAGTGCCAGGATCAGTGACACACCTTTCAATCAGCTGAAGGTATGTAAGGTTGTCTTCTGTATTTGGGTCAAAAAATCCTTTCGTGTCATCTCCTTCATCTTCCAGTATCTTATTCATTTCTTCATCAAAATAGCCTCTCTTAAAGGCCACTTGAGTGGGAAGTCTGTGGCTGTTGATTGGATCAATTATTCCACCAGTGGCAATTTGTGCCTCCAGTAGCCGGATCCCATGTTCCTTAACGATGAGATCCTTGGACATAGCTTGAAATAGGGATATGGTCTCTCCTGAATAAGGATCTTTGTATCCAGTCACTGCTCGCTCAGCTGAAAGCAGCTTCAAATGACATTCGGGGCCAACAAGTTTGTGCTTAATAGCTTCATCCACTGTGTATTTTTTGTTTCCTACAGGATCAATCATGAACCCAGTTGCTGCTTGTGCTTCCAGCAGAACAAGTGCTGTGCCTGGCATCACTATCCCTTGCTTCATGGCTTGATAAATGCTTATTCTCTGATTGGTTGAGAGATCAGCAATGCCTGCTATGCTGCCTTTGCCTTCCAGGTATTCTTTCACGGTTTCCATCAACATCACATCCTGGGTTGTGGTCTTCCCCTTTTGCAAGTCTTCATATGTTTCTTTGTCAATGATCTTTGACTCCAATAGTTCACTGGAGGAAATGCCTTTGCGCAGACCTTTGAATGCAATGCAGACAGGAAGGAGCAACAAGCCAGTTTCTGGCTCCACAGTGCATGTTTCCAGAAGGTTTTGGTAGTTAAGATATTCTTGTGTGCTTGGATTGTAAAATACCTTCAGCTCAGACATGTGGTCACTAAGCAAAGCCTTTTCATAAAGGCCCTTTTGGATCGCGGCATCAGTTGAGATGCTGGTCTTCTCCACAGGGTCAAAGATGCCTTTGCTGGCTATCTGTGCTTCCAGTAACCTCAAGCCATAATCTCTGGGGACTAAATCTTTTTGCATAGCCTGGTACACAGATATAATTTGATTGGTGTAGGGGTCTATGTACCCACTGATGGCTTTCTCTGCAGTGAGAAGTTTCTCCCTCATTTCTGGACCAACTACTCCTTCTTTAACAGCATCGGCAACAGGAAGTATACGGTTTCCTATCGGATCTATGACGCCCACAGTGGCTGCTTGTGCTTCAAGCAGAGCTAATGCAGTTCCCGGTTTAAGCAGATGTTTTTTCATGGCCTGATAAATGGTGAATTTCTCCCCTGTCTTCTCCAGAAATATGCCTGCCACAGGTTCATGGACTTCATATCCATGTTTCTTCATGGCAGTGTTCTGACTGATGGACACCATAATGACCTGAAAAGAAGTGGTAAAACATAAAGAGTCATTGAAATTGGCTTATTCTATAGCTAACTTTTATTTTAGGGAATGCAGCACCCAGAAGAAATGACCTGAGTTGAACATCATTTCATCCACAATCAAATCAGAGATGGAAATGTGAATGATTTCATTTGCAAGTTGCTGGCAGAAGCTGAGTTCAAGACATTAAGAAATGCCTCCAGCGGTCAAAAATACTAAATGAAGGTGAGCAGAAACAGAGGATTTCTACTATGCTCAGAATGGGGTCCTCCACCCAGCTGAAGGAGTTTAATTTGGCTCTCACTTTGGGTTTACATGAGATCAGGTATTTAAACAGTGCATTTGGAGAGCATTAATGCAGAAGGTAATTTGATAATTTCATTCTCCTGGTCCACCTTACATCCATACTGAACCATTCCTTCTAGGTGCTTAAATTTGGTCTCCTGGTTCGTTTCTAACCTTTCGGTTTCGTTAAGAGTCGTAGAAGTAGATCCTCAACTGCTCCAGTTGTTCCAGTTCAGGAAGGCGGATGCAGGATTTAATGGTCAGAGCCGCTGAACTTTTAAGGTTTACTCCTGAAAAAGAAAGACGATAGTTTTATTTTTCTCACACTATCAGTGAGATGGTTGTAGTTTCATGATGTTTCTTTTTATCATGAGTATTTTAAAGCCCTCTGTTTCTGGGAGTACCAGTGCTGCAGCCGAGACCAGAACCAGAGCCCAACGCTACATGATGCAATAAAATGTGAAACATGATCAAAATTGCTCCAATGGCTCTGAAAGATCCACGTTCCCATAAAAATAACTAGATGTTAAATTTAATCAACATCGTTATCAATTCAAACTCTTTGTTCTGCTTTGCTTCCACCTGTCTGCCACAATCTGCTCAGTTTGAATGCTGCACAAACCAAGTCATGCAGCCAATAGAAATACAGAGGAAAGCTGTTACCATGGAGACAGATTTAAATACCAAACTACCCAGCTCCCATCAGTCTCTGCTCCAAAAGCCGAAACATACTGTAGAAGTGGTGGGACTTATGGCTCTTCGGGATCCAATCACTTCAAGGAACCGTTCAGATGATCCAGTTTTGAAAATATTCATCTTTGTAAGAACAACCATTTCATCCCAAATATAGTTTAATTAATTTTTACAAGTTCACTAAATAAGTTTAACTATCTGTAAGTTAAAAGACAACTGTATATTCTTGCAGATAAAAGTATACTTGATTAAATATGTATCTTTGTTAAATATAAAATAGATATTATTTATAGAAAATTGCAAATAGAAATGTAAAAAAACTAAATATAGTATTTTTACAAGTGTTGCATTGATAAAAAAAAAATAATGCTATTTGTACAATGTAAAAAAAATAATCATAGAAAATGCAACAAATAGCAGACGAAGAAAGTGGGCATGAGTTGCTTTCTGGACCATCAAAAATAACAATTATGAAGAACAATAACCCCGGAGCAACACGCAAGAACCAAGAAGGAAGCGCAACAGGGCCGTGCAGAGGCCACTAACGGGGCAGGAGCTCAAAGAAAAAGGGGCCCATCTAACCACCTTCTAGGACAGAATATTAACAAACAGATTTCAGAGTTTAATAAACAATGATAAATTACAAAACTGTGAGATATACAATCAAAGCTAAGGAAAATCTCTATACAGAGCATACAGCTATGCATATGTAAGATATTTTATTAGTAATTTCTTTCTGCAGGTCTATTTTGTTATAGGAAAGTTTTGCAATATTCAAACCTGCAATTTAGCAGGATATGTAAATCAGAGCTGGACCACCAGACATATTTAGTCTTTACAGAATTACACTATTAAAAATATAAACAAGGACACAATGCTACCTTTTAGTGACTGTAATCTATAAAACAGAGCTGCCTGTTTGCTGCAGTGGAGATGAAGATGGTCCATTCAGGAAAGCAGAGCTGCATCAAACTTTAATGTGGAACTGCAGAAAAAACAAAAGCAAAAATTGAATTGTTAATGCATGTCACTATGGGAAAAGCCTATTGAGTTTTCCTTAAAACTTTTTTAAACATTTAAATCACACATTTGTCTCATGAAGTTAATTTTTTTTTGCAAAACAAACTTATTTGTGCATGTCAGAAATCTTTTCTTGATATTCTAAATTTTTGTTTGACTCAAAGTTTTGCTTGTGATTCTCATATGACCTCATGGGCAGGACCCAAAATCGCAACAAAAGATTTGTGATGTGTGCAAATAAAAGTTTATGTTTGGCAAATAACTTTTTAAGTTCACAAGACAAAAATGAGTTATTTAATTTAAAAAAAGTTTTTTAAACAAAACAATTTGTTTTTAAAAAAGAAATCATTATAATTCCAAAAGTTTTGATTACAATTTTATTTTACTTAACTGAGGTTTTTATTTTTTATTGAATAATTGGGGAAATAAATTAACTTCATACTCTGCGAACCAGACCCTAAACTTAAAGTCTGGGTTGAGTTTTTTTCCCCTTCATTAATGACATACATTATATCTATCATGGTAATTCAGCGCGAGTTATTTTTAATTCTAAATGAATATCCTTGTTGGACTTTTATTTAAGTGCTATTCTCCTTCAAGCTACATTTACCTAACGCCAGAATAAATGCGATGTACTTTATGCAGCAAAGCAAATTAGACATATATCCATTATGGAGATGATCGGTTTTGGACGGGCGATGTTCCCCTATTGCATAATCGATACTGAAGAATGACTGATATCATTAACGATACAGGGAAGAAGCTTTTCAGTTATCCTGCTTTACTAGCAAAGTCGTTAGCTAGCAGCTAGCTAATAGCACATCAACAACAACCTAATGTCTGTATGATAAAAATACTGAATCGATAGATAAGAACAGTTTTTCCTCATCTGTCTCCTCCCGCTCAGTAGTTCTTCAGAGAAAGGCAGACGCAGAGGCCTGTCAGTGTCTGTTGTATTTCATTACCTCTCTGCTTAAACCGCTGAAGCAGAAACGAGACTTCAACATTTTCCGTCATCTGACAAGCAGCAGGTCTGCTCCACTTTATTCACCAAAAATGTTTTTTTTAATATATATAATTCACCAAAAACTGATCTGTAATCTGATCGTTCGCTATGTTCAGCTCCAGTTAGCCGCCTTATCTCACTGTGGAGAGGCAACTGGGTCACGGGCAAAAGGTCAAAGGTAACAAGGTGACCGGAAGGCTTATTATGTTGTAGAAAAAAACAAAACAATAATTTTAGTACATGTTATTATGTCAGAAGAGGGCTTAGGAAATAATACAGCAATAAATAAATAAATTGACCAAAAGGGCCCTTGGGGGCAAGGAGCAAAAGGGGCAGGTGCTCAAGCCCCCCTAGCCCCCCCCCTCCCTCAAAAGATACACAAATATCAACATGGCTCAAAGTTAAATTCCCATCTGATTCCACTTC